TGTCCCTCAGCTCTTCAGCTCAAGGCCAATGCTCTACCACTTCAGCTACAGCGCCACTTCTGGTTTTCTGGTTGTTTATTGGAGATAGGAGTCTCACGGTCTCTCCTGCCCTGGCTGGCTTTGAACAGTGATCCTCAGATCTCAGCCTCCTGAGTAGCTAGGATTACAGGCGTGAGCCACCAGCACCTGGCCCCCTTGTGTTTTTCTATAGTAGTTTTAGTTTCCCGGCACTGTTTGTTGAAGAGGATGTCTTTTCTCCACTTTATGTTTTTTACTCCTCTGTCAAAAATCGCATTGCTATAGATGTGTGGATTTATTTCTGGGTCTTCCATTTTTCTCTTTGTTTCAGATGTATTAAGGATTGAACTCAGACCTCTAGCTTGGTATTCAGGGACTCCGCTACTTGAGCTATGGCCTCTAGCACTCTGAGTCTTCTATTTCATTGGTTTATATGGGTGTTTTTTTGTCTGTGCCATGCTGTTTTTGTTAATATGGCTTTGAAGTATGATTTGAAGTATTATGATAACTAGTATAGCCCTTTTTGCTCGATTGCTTTTGCTATTTCAGAATCTTTTACTACTCCATATGAATTACAGCATTGATTTTTATTTCTGTGAAGAATGATATCAAGATGGAATTGCACTAAATATATAGAATGCTTTTGGTAATATAGCCCTTTCTACAATATTCTTTCTGCTAATCCATAACAAGGAAATCTTTTCATTTTCTAGGTTTTTTGGTGTCTTTCTTTCTTTCTTTCTTTCTTTTTTGTCAGTTAAGGGGATTGAACTCCGGGCATGGGCACTGTCCCTGAGTTCTTCATTTCAAGGCTAGCACTCTACCATTTGAGCCACAGTGCCACTTCCGGTTTTCTGAGTGGTTTATTGGAGATAAGAGTCTCACGGACTTTCCTGTCCAGCTGGCTTTGAAAGGCTATCCTCAGATCTCAGCCTCCTGAGTAGCTAGGATTACAGGCATGAGGCCACCAGTGCCTGGCTTGTTTCTAAATTTTGTTTGTCTTAGAAATCTTTTCCCTTCTTAGTTAGGCTTATTCTCTGTTTCATTTGTTGTTATTGTTGGTGCTAATGTTGCCATTTGAGACCATTGTGATTTCTTTTTCAGTTTGTTGATTGTTGGTATATAAAAAAGCTACTGACTTTTTTTAATTTTTAATTTTTGATTTTATATATTAGAATTTGCTGAAAAGTCTATCAGATCCAGGAGGTTTCTGATGAAATCTTTTTTAGCCGTAGGATTGCATATAATCTCCAAATAGGGAGATTCCTGTGTGTACCTTTTATTTCTCTTGCTTCATTGAATTCCTCTGGCAGGAATTTAAGCACTAGATTGAATAAGATGGAAGGAGTAGACACTTGTCTCACTGGTAACTGTAGAGGAAAAAAGAAAGAAAGAAATTGCAACAGATATTCTGTGGCCTACAATTTCTAAAATACTATCTGGCCTTTTACAGAAAGTTTTGCCAACATGAAAGTGACATAGTATGCTCAATCTTGAATGCTTAAACAAAGACAGACTTGCCTTTCATTACTTAGTCACTAGGTGGAATGCTGACAATGATAGTATCCCAGGAATGGAGAATCCTGAGAGGACTGCTTTCAGTGAAACAGCTGATGTACAGCTTCTTTAAACACCTAACAGTAGTCCTAGAATTTAAGTTACTTATTAGATTCTTCACTGACTATTTGCTTTGCTTTATACTTACCAAGCAAGTCAAGCAAGTCTTGGTTTGTAGTCCCAGGCTGTTCTTGAACTCACAGTCCTCCTGCCTCAGCCTCCCAAATGCTAAGATCACAGAGGTATACACCTACACCCAGCTTACACTGACTCATAATTATGTTTGAGGAATCAGAAGAGGAATTACGGATTTTAGAACTAATGTTAAGGTTAAGGTCTTTTCCCCCCATAGGGCTTGAACTCAGAGCCTGGGCATTGTCCCTGACCTTTTTCACTCAAGGCTGTTGCTCTGCTACTTTGAGCCACAGTGCCACTTCTGGTTTTGTGGTGGCTATTTGGAGATTAGAGTCTCATGTACTTTCCTGCCTGGGCTGGCTTCTAAATGTGATCCTCAGATCTCAGCCTCCTGAGTAGCTAGGATTATAGACATGAGCCACAGACACCCAGCAAGATAATAAATTTTAGTATTTATAATTGAAATCATTAAAAATACTAGCATTTTTGTTGTCACAAGATTATTTGAAGCTGGGCTGGGAAGTTGGCTCAGTGGTAGAGCGCTTGCCTTGCATGCCTGAGGCCCAGGGTTCAATTCCTCAGCACCACATAAGCAAAAAGAAAAAAGCCAGAAGTGGCGCTGTGGCTCAAGTGGTAGAGCACTAGCCTTGAGCTGAAGAGCTGAGGGACAGCGCTCAGGCCCAGAGTTCAGGCCCCACGACCGGACCCAAAAAAATAAATAAATAAAATAAAATAAGATTATTTGAAGCTTGTCGTTTATTTTAGCTTTTAGTTATAGAAATTCTCAAACTTAGACAAAAATTTGCAGTATAATAATGAACACTTCGGGCAAGGAATGTGGCTTACTGGTAGAGTAGAGTGCTTGGTTAGCATGCATGAAGAATCCCTGGGTTTACTTGCTCAGTACTACATAAACAGAAAAAGCTGGAAGTGGTGCTGTGGCTCAGATGGCAGAGTGCTAGTCTGAGACAAAGAAGCTTGGGGACAGTGTCTAGGCCCTGAGTTTAAGTCCCAAGACCAGCAAAAAATTTTAAAAATATAGAAAAATAGTAATAATTTCTCAGACCTAGTATTTGCCATCTTGTTTTCATCAGTTACTTGCTTTCCTCACATTTAAAGCAAATCTTAGACTTTGTATTACTTTGGATTATCTTGCTGTATATCCCTGTGTATCTCTTGTATCTCTTTTCTTTTTAAACAAAAAGAAAGTTGTTTTGGGTGCTGGGATGGTAGCTCAGTGGTAGAGTGCTTGCCTTGCATGCATGAGGCCCTGGGTTCTATTCCTTAGCACCACATAAGCAAAATTTAAAAAAACCGGAAGTGGCGCTGTGGCTCAAGTGGTAGAGCACTAGCTAGCCTTGAGCTGAAGAGCTGAGGGACAGCACCCAGGCCCAGAGTTCAGGCCCCACAACCGGACCAAAGAAAGTTGTTTTGCCTTAGTGTGATCAATCATAATTCTTTAATATTACTAAATCATGTGAAGATTTCATAAACATTTTTATCCTGGAACAACATTATTAAATTATAATTCATATACCATAAAATTCACCCTTTTAAAGTACTCAATTATAAGTAAGTTATACTTAAACCTCCACAGGGGTTTGGTGATAATCACTGTAAGTTTAAAGCATTTTTGACATCCTGACAAAGAATCTATTAACAATTTTTATTTTCTCTTGCACCTCTTTAAATCTTCCTGATCCCCAATTTAGGCAACAGTTAATCTGCTTTTCCATACTATAATCTGGATTGGTACTTCATTCCTTTATTGCTGAATAACACTCATTGCAAAATGTGTCTCTATGCTGGGTGCTCTATGCCTATAATTCTAGCAACTCAGAAAGCTGAGATCTGAGGATCGGATCATGGTTCAAAGCCAGCCCAGGCAGAAAAATTCATGAGACTCTTATCTTTGATAAACACTGTACTCAGAAGAAGCCAGAAGTGGCTCTGTGGCTCAAATGGTAGAGCAGTAGCCTTGAGCAGAAAGAGGCTCAGGGACAGTGCCCAGGCCCTGAGTTCAAGCCATAGGACCAGAAAAAAAAATATATATATATATATATATATGGCTCTACCACATTTTTATTCATTCACCCACCTACAAATTAACATTTGAATTATTTCCATCCTTTGGCTAATTCATGAACTTTCATGTGTAAACATTTTTTAATTTTTTTTTAATATACCAGGTGTACAATTGCTGTTTCATATCATAATTCTCTTTAATCTTTCAGAAACAGAGCTCTGTTCATACTAGGTAAACATTCTACCACTGAACTGTACCTCTAGCCATCTAGCTTGTTGTATATTTCCACTAGTAATATATGAGGATTTCATTTTCTTAACATCATCAAAACTTCTGTAGGGGAAGGGTGGTTTTGCATCCTTCTGGATATGAATTAGTATCTCATTGTGACTTTGATTTGTATCTTCCCAATAATCAATTTATCAAGAACTTTTTGTGTGATAATTGGCTATTTCCATGTCCAAAAATTTTGCCTAGAATTTAATTGGGTAGTTCTTGTTTTATTGAGCTTGTACATTCTAAATACAAGATCCTTTTGAAATCTAACTTGAAAATATTTTCTTACATTCTGCCTTTTCAGTTTCTTGATCATATTTAATGAAGTCTGGTATATCTATTTTTTTTCTCTTCATGTTTTTGTTGCACTAGCTAAAGAATAATTTCCTAAGCTAGGCTCACAAAGATTTATTTATCTGACTTTTATCTAATTTTCTTACAGTTTTATCTCCCACATTTAGGGACTCTGATCTATTTTGAGTTAATTTCTAGATAGGGTTTGAGGTAGGATTCCAATTTCACTATTTTGTATATATACAAGTTTTCAAGTTTCTTTTCAAAATCCTTTTGGCCAAAGTGAAAAGATTTCTAGTAGAAATTTCTGTTTCATCAATCTATATGTCCTTACACTAGTACAATAATGCTCTAAAATTTAAAATCCATATGTATCTCCTTTTTTATACTTTGTTTATTGTAAATATACTGTACAGAGGGGTTACAGTTACATGAGCAAGGTAATGAGTACATTTCCTAACAAGCATTGTTGCCTCCTCCTTTGTTTCTCCCCTACCATCCCTGCCCTTCCACCTCCACAACTACACTCTCCCCCCCCCCCTTGCCTAAATTGTAAAGTTCGTTTTCAACATAGTGTTTTGTACATCTCATTGTTACAATGGTCAACATTATCCCTATTTAAGCATTTTGTTTTTCCCCTTCCCCTCCCCAAATTAGAGAAGTGTATATACAAGATGCAGGGCACCGACATCAAATATAGTGAAAACAGGGGTTATACCGTGGGGGAGGAACATACAAAGAAACAAAAAACCACATGGTACATTATAAATATGTTAGAAATAATAGCAAGAAAGAAAAAAACCACTGTGTCCCTATCTTGGGGTTCATTTCGCTTAACATCATCTTATCTGATCATATGTACATAGCTTTTGACCTTTTCTGCTTGTCCCAGACATACACTAGTTATTGCAAATGAGGGAAACCATGGGACCTATGTTTCTTTGGGCCTGACTTACTTTACTTAATATAATTTTTTCCAAGTCTTTCCATTTCCTAACAAATGGGGCACTGTCATTCTTTCTGATGGAGGCATAGAATTCGTGTGTGTGTCTGTGTGTGTCTGTGTGTGTGTGTGTGTGTGTGTCTGCGTGTGTGTGTGTGTGTGTCTGCGTGTGTGTGTGTGTGTGTCTGTGTGTCTGTGTGTCTGTGTGTCTTGATCCATTCATCTTTGAGGGGCATCTGGGTTGGTTCCAAATCTTAGCTATGGTAAATAATGCTTCAGTAAACATAGTTATGCTGGTAGCCTTATGCTGGTAGCGTTAGTATGGCTTTGTTTGTGATCATTTGGGTAAATGTCCAAAAGTGGGATTGCTGGGTCACAGGGGAGCTCTATGTGGAGTCTTGAGGAACCTCCATACTGCTTTCCAAAGTGGTTGAACAAGTTTACACTTCCACCAACAATGCAGTAAGGTTCCCTTCTGGCTACATCCCCTTCAGCATCTGTTGTTATTAAATTTCTTGATGATAGCCATTCTAACTGGGATGAGGTAAAATCTCAATGCTGTTTTGATTTGCATTTCTTTTGTGGCTAGAGAGGTTGAGCATTTTTTCATGTGTCTATTGGCCATTCTTATTTCCTCTTCAGAGAAGTCTTTTTTTTTTTTTGTCGGTTGAGGGCCGGGGAGCTGTACCTCAGCTCTTCAACTGTAGACTAGTGCTCTACCACCTGAGCCTCAGCCCCACTTATGGCTTTTTCTGCTTATGTGGTGCTGAGGAATCGAACCGAGTGCATCATGCATACAAGGCAAGCACTCTACCGCTGAGCCACCTTCTCAGCCCTGTCTCTTTAAGTCTTTAGCCCACTTATTTATCAGGCAGTTGTTTCTTTGAGGATATATTGTTGGGAGATTTAATTTTTTGAGTTTTCAGCTTGAATCTTCTTAAGAAGAATCTTCTTTTTTTTTTTATTTTTTTGTTAGCCCACGCTGGCTTTGAACTGTGATCCTCAGATCTCAGCCTCCTGAGTAGCTAGCATTACAGGTGTGAACCACCCATGCCCAGGCCAACCTTGAAAAAAAAATTGGGGGGGAAGGCTTGCTAATGGGGCTTGAACTCAGGGCCTTGGCACTGTCCCTGAGCTTTTTTGCTCAAGGATAGTGCTCTAGCACTTTGAGTCACAGCACCATTTGACCTTAAAATAAGAATCTTCTTTTTTAAAGATTTTTTAAAAATTATCCTGAGTTCCTTGCATTTTCATAAAAATTTTAGGGTTAGTTTGTTCTTTCTGGGAAAAAAAACACAGTTTAGCTACAGATTAATTATACTACCTTTATAAACCACAGACATGGAATTATCCTCATTTTATTTAGGCCTTTAATTTATTTCAGTGATGTTTGCAGCCTGCAAGTCTTATACTTCTTTTGTTCAATGTATTTCCCCCTTTTAGCTACTGTGAATGAATTCTTCCATGACCATACTATATTTTATACATATATGGAATTGCTGGATCATAACATTCAAATTGCAATTTGTTTTGCAATCTGGTTAAAATCTAGGTGCAAGTATAGGTTGCACATTTCCTAGTCATTTTGTTTATTTCTCAGAGATCTCTTAATTGTCTTTTTTCTTGAACTTTCTTTGATGAGCTAAATTATTTGTGTTCTATCATTTCTCTGTAGCAAGGGTCTCACTAACTTTTTTGCTCAGGCAGAATGTCCATATGAATGCCATAGTTTACTCACTTTATTGATGGTAATTTGGACTGATACACTTGTGTGCATACATGTGTGTAGATACACATGTACGCACGCATGCAGGTGCATGCCAATACTGGGCTTGATCTCAGGGCTAGTGTTGTACCACTTGATCTCAGGCTAGTGTTGTACCACTTGAGCCACAGCTACACTTCCATCTCTTGGCTGGTTAATTGGAGTCTTACAGACTTTTCCTTCCCAAACTGACTTCAAACCATGGTCCACAGATCATAGTCTCCTGAGTAACTAGGCATTAGTCACCAGCACCTGTCTTATCTCCACTTTTTTTGGTATTATAAATAATCAAAATTAGAGATGTATTCTCAGTTTATTTTTCTAGTTTACCTTTTGAATAGATTCCTACAAGAGGAATTTTCTAGGTAAATTAATATAATTTGATTAAATATTCTCAATTCTTTCTTAGAGAGTATGTGATATTTTAACACTTCTAGCAACAGTGTAGAGTGTTTTATCAACAGTATTTTTTACCAACAAAATATGAACACATTTTCTGTCTGTTTAAAAATGGTGCCTATGTGCTGTTTTACTTTGTGTATTTTTAAAAGCAAACCAATGAGAAACTTGTCATTTTTGTTGTTTTCTGATCATGTCTATTTTTATTTTTCAGAGTCAATATAGATTTGTATGTGAAGCTATTCTGAAAGTTTATGAAGAAGGCTTTGTTAAACCCTTAACAACAACATCAAATAAATAAGAAAACAAAAGGTCTGGGATGTGTGTTGGAAAACTGCTTTTCATTATAATCACAGTGCCATAAGACTGTTCACAGGAAATGGCATCTCACAAAAAGTGAAGAACTCAAAAATACTTTGAAAGCCTTCAGCACTATTGCACTTTATGTTTAGAAAAAATGTCACTCTTTGGAGATCTACAACTCATATATTGGAAGACTATTTCATGCTTTGCTCCGAACAAATAATGAATAACTGAGTATGTTCGGGGTAATTTTTGAAATTTTGTGGTGGTGCCATGCAGTCCCTTTTGGTAGAATTGCCACAAACAAGGCTCAGAATTCTCATCATCTCTGTTGTACCTGAATCCTGAAAGCAAGAAGAAACAAATATCAGGAGTCAGCTCTGGCCTTTGCCAGTCGTTCATTTACTTACTAAACTGGTTACCAGATTTTATTTTTAAGATTTTAGCAATACCATTCTCAATATTAGCCAATACACTGCCTATGGATGCAGCACATCTATCCCTACACACCCCTGTAAAGACCTGCTGTTCAGAAGAAAAGTGGAATTTACTTTTCCAGGAAATGCTGCATATTGTCCATTTACCAGCATCTTATAGAAAATAGAAAGATGAATCTACAAATTTTCTTGGATTTAGTAATGTAACTTATATTTATCATAAAGTTGGCTTATTCCAAATCATGTGATTTCACATACTTGATGTAAAGGAATGCATGCATTGTGTCTTAACCCCTTAAGTGCCTTGAGACATCTTTGTATGTCTAATGAAAAGGCACTCATTTGACCCCACTAGGAGGTATGTATGTATATTGTACATTCTTACATTTTTATGCATTTCAAATAAGTTCACATTTTCAAAAACAGCTTCTTGTATTGAGAGTTATACAGTCAAAAAATGGCAAGGAAATCCTGTCTTAGTACTTGTATTTTGTCATAAGCCAAGAAAAAGTTTGTATTCTCTTGAGTGCACGCTCTGCTGCTATGGAATTGTTCAAATCTGTACATTCCTTTACTGAAGGACGGGTTACAGTTCAGCAGCTTAACTTTAAAAACATGCTTTATTCACAATTTTGTACTGCTTTGTCCCTAACATTAGAAGTGATGTTTAATATGCACATTAGAGATAAACCTATTGATACAGTAAGTTAAAGTAAGAGCAGTTAATGGGTTGTAGTTTATTCCTATCTGTAAGGCATTACCTTTGGCACTTATTTCAGTAATAGCAAGCTTTCTCCCCTTAGGTGTTTTGGTTGGGATTCTTGAAAATAAATACTATTGACTTATTTTTACATGTAACTCTCAATAGTAAAATGAGAGTGTTGTCATTTTTGTGTATAATTAAATTCCCCAGTTTATGCTTATTAAGTTATAAGCATGGGAATAAGGAGGTTTCTGATTGTCCAGCCTGACTGAAGCTCTGACTCCCATCAAGAACATGTAATTTTCCTCTTCAGGATTTTTGCTTGTAAGGCTACAGAAAGAGAACCTTAAATATTACCCAGATTAATATAAGTGAAATTTGCTCACCTGCTCAAATGTTTTTACAGAATTATTTTACATGGATATAATTAAGATAGATTTGCTTGTTAGTATCTTAGTATTTCTGTATAGCTTTGATAAAGTTTAGAACCAATGGTAAATACTTTGGGATGTCAGGAACAATATATATTTAAAAATCACATATTCAAAATGTTTGATAGGAAGTGGCGCTGTGGCTCAAGCGGTAGAGCGCTAGCCTTGAGCTGAAGAGCTGAGGGACAGTGCCCAGGCCCAGAGTTCAAACCTCATGACCGACAAAAAAAAAAATAGAAAAAAAAATGTTTGATAATAAATTTCAGAAAGTTAAGCTCCTCAACATTAATAGCCAAGATACCAACTAAATTATTATTGTTTTTTCTTTTCTTAAAAGAGAAAAAGAATTCTGTAAGTTAATTACAGTCTTATTTGAACATTCCGTGCTCTATCAATAAACAAGTATAATTTAAGCTGCTATACTATATCATAACAAATTGAAAAGGAAAATCATGTTGGGGTCCACATAGTAAGTAACTATTTTGGCAGTTGCTTTAGCTCGAATTGAAAAATAAAGTCCTAACCTTATGGACAGAATATGACAACTGTAAACAAAAAGAAAATCATACACAGAGAAATGTCATGGTTCACTTGTTCACTGATTGTAGATTTGTTTGCACTTCTGGGGTTAACTCAACTGTTTGCAACCATCACTGCTGCCATTCTAAATCATTGTCTTTAAATGTATTGGAAGTATAGAATTGTATTTAAATTCATCATAAAATTTTCTTCTAAGAGCTACCCTCTATCAGTATTTTTGTGTGCAAAAAGGATCCTTTTCTAAAAATATGTTTACTAGGATCTGAAATTTAAAATATTCTTCACAGTTTCTTAATATACTGATTAAGCTTCCCTATTGATCTATCATGTAAGACTCTCCATTGCACATAAGAATTTATAAACTTGTTTATCCTCAATCTACATGGATTTCTAAACATCAGAGTAGCTTTCGTATACCAAGTAGTTTAGACTCCATCCTTATCAATGCAATACTGTGATGAAAAACCAAATTTCTTGTATCTTAAGCTATTCTGTTTGTTCCTCCATCCACCCCTAAATTCATACTCCTAAGAAGTGTTCATGAAAAACTTCCCTCTCTGATTTAGGATGATTTTCCTTGTTTATTTTAAATGTTTAATTGTGCATCTCATTTGTGAATAAGGGGAGAAAAGGAATATTTTGGAGTGGACTTTACATTCACAAGAGAAACTGGCTGTAACTCTTAAACCAGAGCAGCCATTCAAAATGAAAGTAAACAACCGAAGAACAATGTCTTGTGTGGCCAGTGAGGACAATTAAGAAGGATGGCTGATCATTTTGATTTATTTTGTTGAGACAAACATCAGATCATAAAGTTATGATAAGCCATAAGGACAGTTTCTTGGAAGTTTCAGGTATAATAGATACTTTAATGCATTTATTTTTATGTATATTTCATAAAGGCTACAGCCCAACAAACAAAGAGAATGGTGTATTTTAACTACTAGTATTGTTTGTCATCTGTTGGAAGGTTTGTTTGAGTGGGGGGTTGTTGGTTTATAGTTTTTGTTTTTTTGTTGTTATTGTTGGTCGTGGGGCTTGAACTCAGTACCTGGATGCTATCCCTGAGCTCTTTTTGCTCATGGCTAGTGCTCCACCACTTTGAGCTACAGTACCACTTCCAGTTTTCTGGAGGTTAATTGGAGAGAAGAGTCTCACTGACTTTCCTGCTGAGGCTGGCCTTGAACCATAATCCTCACATCTCAGCCTCCTGCGTAGTTCAGATTACAGGCATGAGCCGCTAGCACCCAGCAGTTGCAACGTTTAATCTGATCTAGTTAAGTATTACAGTAAAAATATCCTGTCTCATTATAAGTACTGCACATTGAAAGCTGAGAGGAAGTTGAAAGATTTTATCTAACCTCTACTTCCCTTATTATATGCAAAGAAGCAGAGGCCTAGCAAGGGTAATTTATTTAGCAAAATCTGATCTTCTAAATTTTCTAATTCCTAATATAATGTTCCTCTGTATTATACTAGAACTGCATTAAATTGTAACCTATATGAATATCATACATTCATGTCTACTTCATGGCTATTTCAACCAGGAAAACATTCAGACAGTATTTTCACTTCATTATAATGACAACTTTAGGAGACATTATTTGATTTAGAAAATAACTGGTTTTCAAAACACCTAATTAGGTCTCTGACTCTGTTTGCTAGTCATGCTTCCCTGACAGCGTAGCTTTTATGAAATGTTTAGGCTGCAACACATGCAGTGTGAAAACATTCTGGGCTACAAGTAGAAGACTATTTTTAAAGCACTTAAGACATAGAACTAAGATTTAGGGCATATATCCACTGATAGTGAAATAATTTATGTTTGTAATGCAAATACATATTTGAATTAAAGCATTACTTGTTTTATTATCTTATCAGGAAGGGAGAAAGAATCACGAATTTATAACTGTGCTATTTAATATCTGTCCTTTGAATATTTTAAATATTCTGATGGTAAGGTTGCCAAAGTAGTTTTGAACTGATAAAAGAAAAATTTATACCACAATAATGTGGGATATGTTTACAGGCGCTTTTTATTTGATAACTGTTACTCTGTAGTTCAGGTAAATTTGCATTTAAAGCATGTATAGTAAATACATCAGTAATTCATTTATGGCAAATATTTGTTGGAATAAACATCTACTGATATGACAAAGACATAGATAAAAGCATACTATGGTCTGCTTGTATGCAGGCTACTCTACCAACAAAGCAAGTACTTTCTACTCATATTGCTTACTTGCCACATGCACTGCAGCCATCCACTCCCAGATTCTAGAACCATTTGTTGTGGTGCTTCCAAGTAGCATATCTATGTTATTACAACAGTGAATTGGGTTTTCCAAATACTAGAATTATTATTATTTTTTTTTGGTCAGGTTGTGGGGCTTGAACTCTGGGCCTGGGCGCTGTCCCTCAGCTCTTCAGCTCAAGGCTAGCGTTCTATCACTTGAGCCACAGCGCCACTTCCGGCTTTTTTCTTTTTGCTGAGGTGGTGCTGAGGAATCGAACCCAGGGCCTCATGAATGCAAGGCAAGCGTTCTACCACTGAGCCACCTTCCTAGCCCTAAATACTAGAATTATTGAACTGCTAACAAAGATTTATTGGGTGTCAGTATGATCACAAGTTGTAGTAGCTATTTTATAAAGTTCTTAGGAAATTAGATAGCTAAAAAAGAAAATTACATAATCCTCAAACATTTTTGATGGCTAGATGATTGAATAGATTATTTTACCAATTCTAACAACCCAAGGAGTGGTGCTGGGGCCCAAGTGGTAGAGCGCTCGCCTTGAGCTGAAGCGCCGAGGGACAGCGCCCAGGCCCAGAGTTCAGTCCCCACTACCAACCAAAAATAAATATATAAAAAAAAAAATTAAAATTAGCCAGGTGCTGGTAGCTCGCACTGTAATCGTAGCTACTCAGGAGGCTGAGATCTGAGGATCGAGGTTCAAAGCCAGCCTGGGCAGGAGAGACCATGAGACTCCGATCTCCAATAAACCACCAGAAAACCGGAAGTGGCACTGTGGCTCAAGTGGTAGAATGCTCGCCTTGAGCTGAAGAGCTGAGGGACAGCACCCAAGCCCAGAGTTCAAGCCCCACAACTGACAAAAAACAAAAAAAAAACCCAAGAATCAAATCCCAGAATTACATAGTTTTTGTTCAACTTTCTTTGCCATGTCTACTGTCACCAGCATAAATGTTATTATTTATAGATTTCATTTATTCTTAGTAGTGGTTATAATGTCTTTATTATCAAAAGAAATAGTAATCCCCATTTCTGCCAAAATATTAGACATTTTATTTTCATAGTCTTGGTGAAATTGTTTGGATAGACACCAAAAAGTTACTTGCCTAGCATATAAGAATTTGCTGCTATTTATTTTTATGTTTTTCTTCTACTGTTGATTTCTGAAGCTTTGAATAATTATTTTTATTTTAGTCATCCAAGCTAAATGGGCAGCCAGAAGTAGTTAGTGGCTGCTGGGAAACATCCATCAGCATTTGTTAAAGGTGGTTCAGAACATAATAATTAAATTTTCCAGTTCAAGAATGAAAGTGAAAGCCTTGTAAGCTCATTTAAAAAAAAATTGTAACTAAACACTATAGAGGTTTCTTATCATTGTGGAGATGCTATATAGACAATATTTTTCTATGGACTAAAAGGTTGAAACGTAATTTCTTTAATTGCTTAAAAGGGGATGAAAGGATATTTGTATGTCTTTCTTGCTGTAAAGAAAATGAATGTAACTTTCAAATGTAAATAGAATTGTGACTTGATTCTAAGGATAGTTGTTTGTTTAAAAAAAACTTTAAAAAGTCTGAAAAGGCGTGGAAAGAAGAGAAGGGGAAAGCGTATTACATGTCGCTCAACAAAATGCAATTTTAGAAGAAAAGTACTCTTCCTTATAAACAAGAGTAGTCATTGAAGCATGTTTCATATGCAGTGTATATTCTTTTTTTGTGTTGCTTTGTTTTGGTTCTAGAATAGAAACTTTCCAGAAAATTTGCACATATTGTTTTTAAGTGTGAAATATTTGAATTGTAAGCTTGTGGGATGTCGTGGAATGTTGTATATGAGGATAAATGTGCTGCTACATGTTTCTGCCGTGGAGGAAAGTTCCCAAGCTTTATCACTGTGGCAGCGCCAGTGAAGACATCCTTGTGAGAATGTGATTTTGGTGAAGCCAGAAAACTGTGCCTAACATTCACTGCAGTCATTATGTGCAGAGGTCCCAGACCTAATAAATGGTTTTGCCTTTTTATTGTCAGTGTCTTGGTCAGACAAAACCACTGGACCCAACTTTGACTTGTAGTAGTGGTGTCATATATCATATGCCTAACAAACAAACCCTCTTCATTTAAACATCTTCTGTAGGCATGATTGCTTTGTCCAACTCCTTTAAGAAGGTACTATTTGCCATCATTCATGAAACGACACAATTTAATTAAACTCTGTGAAGTAAATATTTAGAACAAGGAAATGATGGTCTGTTAAAGGACTAATGTCAGACACCTTTAATCCCCAGAATCAACAAAATTTAATAATATTCTTTGTGAT